AGAAGGAGGACTCATTTGTGAGTGACTCATGAACCTGAAGGAGGTGCCAGCTTTTTATCAGCATAAAAAGAAGCAGAGAAACTGTGAGTTGGGGCTTTTTCCCCAACTAGAGAATGGGATAGACTTCTTGAATAGACCCTTAGGGGTCTTACCCCCTAAGAATAGAGGACAAGAAGACCCTTCTACTGTCTTACCCCTCAGAGGTGGGGAATAGAAGACGCTTTTGCTATCAGAGAAAAGATAGACCCCCAAAAACGCAGGAATGTCAGAGAGCTGACTGAGAGAGAGCCTGCACTTACAGGAAAATAGCAGAGCAGAGCAGAGAGAAGAAAAAGGGGGAGATTTTCAGGAGAGAGCCTGGACTTTATACCTCATAGCAAATCAGTGAAAGCTGATTAAGAGGGAAACTATTACAGTAGGAGTGTTAGAATTAGTTCTTGTAGCACAGAGACTGTTTCATTGAATTGAAATTGTTGTATGTGACTGTTGTGTGAAAAACTTTAATAAAACCACAGCCTTCCAATTTGTAAGTGTCTGAAGCAAAACAAAGTATTCTGGTTCTTTAGAACAATTTAACCCTCTTCCCCTGTCCGTTAACCGTGCGATCCAGACGTGACGACAGAAGCTACCATAAGGAGCTTAAGGTAAGTTCCCTGGGTGAAGACTTGGCAGTGTTAGTCATAAATGGTGAGAATGTTCACAATAGGCAATAGTAAAGTATAGACGATGTACATAACTATTCGTACTGGGTGTTAGGGTTACATCCTATTGAGAGTGCCTGGGGCATTAGCCGTAAAAAGACTTTCAAAAAGACAATAATTCCGAAATCCTAACGATTTAGCTACGGGGTGAGATAAAACGCCGAAGGTATTGTTCCGACACCTCCAAGAGGAACGTATATCCTCGCAGGTGGGACAGCCGTAACCACGGTGTTAGGTGCGTAAGACTTCCCAGCCTAGAAAGGGGGCAGGAACCGTTCACGCTACACTTTCAATGTAAAGGAGCAGGGACTTGATTCAAAAGCTCTGTCAGATCAACTGAACTCCTCACCTTGTTGCAATGAGGGATAGAAGCCCCTGCAAAGGAATAATTATATAAAAAGTAGCACCTGGTTCAAACAACTTCCTTATTGTCAAATTAGGTGAGTCTATTGGTAGCCTTGTTCATTGTTTCCACAGAACTACTGAGAAAGACTACAGAAATTTTTTGCCAACCTCGAAGAGCAAGCACTGACAAAATTGACTGCATCACATCATGCCGCCTCACATGTTCACGTCGTAAAGAGTACAGCTGACAAAGAATTAACTGCTAACAATTGTCTGTATTTATGAAACGAGAAAGAAACAGAAAAATTTCACAGTTAATATTTTTGCTAAAACTATGGGAGACCCACCAGCATCAGAACCAACACCTGATGTGTCATTAAATACTTCTGGAAAGTGAACACACCTTGTGTTTCAATACAAAGTTCACTATGGACAACCAGAAAACTTCTCACTCACACTCCCACTCCCATTGTGGGTGCTGGTTCCAGCGTATAGCTGGCATATTTTGATTTGACACACTAGACCAGGCGACTTTCTATGCATCAACAGTTTAGCACCACCCCTCAGTGTGCCAGCCCTGCTTACCTTTGACATGTTGTGGAAGATCCTCGCAGATTTGTAGAAGACCCCTGACCAGCTCCTTCTCACTATGGACAGCTTTTGCTTCCTCTCGTCTTCGTCTCAGAAATTCTCTCATGTTTTTGTCATCTTTACAATGACCATCATCACAGAGGGCATCTAGAGGAACATAGTCATATAGATGAACACAAACACAAAAGTAGACTCAACTGTGAAGCTCAACAAAGAAAACACCCACTGGAATTGTAAAGTGTCCCCATAATGGTGCATACAAACATCTACTTCATACATATATGAAGTAGGGGTGGGCAGTATACCATTTTAGCAACGTCACCGGTGTCAAATAGGTGTAGGAATCACCAGAGGCCCCACGATACAAAATTATCACAATACTTAAGTCACGATACAATATTATTGCAATATGCTGAGTACTGTGATATCAAACATTGAAATATAGTGTGATTCATTACCTATTTTCAACAGAAAATGATTCAGTTTGTCAACACCTGTTTTATCTAAGATAAAGTTTTCGCTCGGTTCATCTCGCTTCAATCCTTTTCTAATAGACCTATAGATGAACCAAAATATTTATCATCATCATCAACTAATTATAGTATACAAAATTCAACTGTCCTACACTGTATCTGTGCCTTTTGTACAGTACTGAGAAAACAGCATTTACGTTGCATATTTTCAAACTCTGTCTTCAGTTAAGAGGTAAAAGGTTACATCAGCTTTCACTTGCTTCAGAGAGGTAAATTCTTCTAAGTGTAATGTAATTCCTATTACTCAGTAGGCTCCTCCTCCAAAACCACATGTACTGTAGGTCTATTCCCCATCTTTATTCTTATTTGGAGCCAATAAACAAATTAAATAACAAAAAAATAACTTAAAAAAAATCTTTCTTTCTGCCTTACATTGCAAATAATAGTGGACATTTGAAGAATCATGTTTTGAGATGAGTATCCCTTTTAATTTTGGTCTACCATGATATAATACTGTCACCCCTGTGACGGCCCAGGGCCTCTGCCGTGGATTGTATGTCTTTCAGTGTCCCTGGGTCCTGGATCTTTGGAGAGTCACATCAAGAAGATTGGAGGCAGGTGGCCACTGCCTTTGCTTTATAAGACACGCCCCATCCGGAGGAAAGGCTGGCTTCTTCCCCTCTGACACACCTTGGGTGCTTCTCAAGTCTCTTAATTGCGTCCCCGTTTCCCTCACTTGTGTCCTTTCCTTGCGTCTTAGTCCCTCCCACCAGGGATGCATGGAGGAAACCATGCAAGGAGAGAGGAACGAGGAAATATGTTTTAAAATACATGAGACGCCCTTTCCTCAGTTGCGTCACGTGAAGCGACGTCTGTTTCTGATGACGGAGGGTCAGCTGTTAGTCGGCTTTAACAGCTGGAGAGACTTTTGATAAGTTTGTGTCTGTTCACATGATCACTGTACTTAACAATAGTAACTAATAATTAGTGCTGGGCAACGATTAAAATATTTAATCGCGATTAATCGCATGGATTTTTTGCGATTAATCGCGATTAATTGCATTGTTTTGGCAAAGTTTAATAATGAATTCAAAAGTAGTGTATTGCGCACTTTTATTTTAAAAGTACTGCTATATGAACAAAAGGGTAATAATATTTGGTTCACGAGATGCAGGTAGCATGTTTTATACTTAATGTGAATATAATTCATACTTTGTTGGCATGTTATTCTGAAAACCGGATGTTCGTCTGAAGAAACACATTAATCTTTCTGCTAACTTTCAAAGTCCTTCGCTCGCTCCCGATCTGTGCTGTTTAAATGCGTTTACAGTGAATTTCAGCATATAGGTGCACTAAAATTACTGACTATAGGATGTTTGCTGGCTTTTATCCCACTGTTCTTGTCATCCTCTTGTTGTTATGTATATATATTGTCTCTTGTCTTTCAATTAAAAAAGAAAAAAAAAAAAAAAGAAAATTATAATAAATTAAAAAAATGCGTTAACGCGCGATAAAATAATTGTCGGCGTTAATTAATGAATGCGTTAACGCGAAATTAACGTGTTAACTTGCCCAGCACTAATAATAATACTAATAACTAATATAGACACACAGTAATCACCACCATAGAGGTGTTTCTCTCTGTAGTCTGTTAGCAAACTGTGTCCTGTGTTCTGTTTATAAACACAGGATCGATTTCTACCGGCGGAATGCGATCGTCTTATTTATGAATTATTTGCGTCTGTACGTTTTGAAATTGTACCTGTGGCATCATTATTAAATAACCCAGAATATGATTATTGTTTCTCTTAAATGAGAAAACTCATCAAACACTCAGGAATGATGTAAAAAGTGTTTTGTCTCTCCAGCTCTCTCTGACTTTAATTGTATTCATAATAAAAGTTATTGAGGGAAACATCAGATCATGAAAACACAAATCTTTCTAATAAATGAAGAAAGTTGTTTGTGGTCGTTTTGTTCAGTCTACAATGAACAGTTATTTAAACCAGATGTTGAATCAGAAACCTAATCAAATATAAAGCTTGAGTTTATTCTGTGATCAGTCTTCACTCTGGTATGAAACTCCAGTCAGTCAGTCCGATCAGCTGCAGCGTCCAATCACATGACTTATGAACAATGAGGGGGCGTGTCGGCCGTTAAAAGACTTCCTGGAAGTCTGTTCTCGTGGGTCCTCGCTCATGGCTCCTCCGAGGTCCCTCCTCCATCCTCGATCCCCGCTCCTCTGAGCTACATTAGAGCTTTGGGACGGCCGTCAATATGGCGGCGCAGAAACAACTTCCGGTTCAAGCGAGGATCGAGGAGCGAGGAAACGACAATTAAGAGACTTGAGAAGTACCCCAGGTGTGTCAGAGGGGAAGAAGCCAGCCTTTCCTCCGGGTGGGGCGTGTCTCATAAGGCGAAGGCAGTGGCCAGCTGCCTCCAATCTTCTTGATGTGACTCTCCAACGATCCAGGACCCCCAAAAAATACAATATATAATAATGAATCATATAAATTGTAGGTCATAATGACAACCATAACATGACAGGGATGCTATATAATGTTACACGTTTTGCTTTGTTGTCATTCTACAACACATGTTTTCACATTGAAATGTGAGTTCTAGTTCAAATATGCTACACAAGAAAATAAAAAAATAAAACAAAAACTATTATCTATCATGCAGCCTGAGAAGAGAAGGTGCTCTGTAGTGTGGTGGTGCTGCAGCGGACTGCTGGATAAGAGGTGTTGTTTAAGAGGATGTTGAGGAGAAAGAGTAGCAGAAATAAAAAGATATTCCAACTCACCGATCTTCAGCAAGTCAACAAATTCAAGTTCTTTTTGGAGGATTTGGTTTAAAGTTTTCATCTGGATCTCTCCACTGAAGAACTTCTCTGACACAGATTTGAATGCCTAACTGGCCAAAGTCATCCTGATTTGCACTTCATCTGACAATTTGTCAATCAGTCTTCCTCTTGCACCTGGAAAACAAGCTTGCAAACATAAACTACAACACATTTTACTGTGGATTATGTAAACAAAAAACATTTGACAATTAAACAATAATTAAATATACTGATGTGAAATGAGCCAAAAATAACCCAATGACAGCCAGCCTTCCCTTTCTTTCTTAAGGCATTACTTTCACACACGCACTTTTTAGAGTAAGAGTAATCTTTAGAAATGAATAAAGCCCAGATTCCCAGTCATTCTTATAACATTATCAGGAACAATTAAGTATTTACCTATCATTTGGAAAAAAGTTTTGGCCATGGGCCAATTTAAGAGGTACTCAAACATGAAGTCCTCGCCTTCAATGTAAGCTCCACTCGCATCAGTGGGCCATGTGTTCAGCACAGCAGCAGACATCAGCTTCCCAAACTTTGTGATATCATGTTTCTCAAGTAGAGCTGAAGCAGCTCTGCCAGATTTATCCTAAACAGAAAAATGTTACATTCAGTGCGGGAGAATCTTTTTTATCCTACAATGTTAAGTGTCTGTGGGAGTCTTTAAATACAGGTATTCATAATCAAAGCCTTGTAATAATAATTATAAGTTGCTAAAGAATTGTTTTAACACCTTCAATGCATTACACCATTCTTGTACAATTGTTTATGAATTAAAAACTAAATTACATTTACATTTTATTATATTACAAAGCATTTATTAACTGCTTATTCTATACTTGAATAACACAAATCAACACAGATCAAACCTGAGCAATAGCTGCAATCGCTTCCACTGCACATTTCTCCATTGTGTTGCATAACAATGGACTTGTCCTGCTCAGTTCTTCCATCTTCTTAGTGTATATTCCAATTTGATCCTCTGGATGTTCCTAGCACACAAGCATGCATCTTCAGTTTAGTTTCTCAAATGCACATGTAAAAACATGTAAATACCAGAAATCAAGATCTGTAAAGCATGTAAACACAAACACAAATCCAGGCTTACTTGTTTTAATTTTCCTTCAAAATCCTGCAGGAAGGAGGTTCTCCATAATGAGGTGTGTTCCTGATGATTGAAGGATACTGAGACTAACTTGTCCCATACCTAGAAAGAAGGTCATGTATTTTGATACACCATCACAGCTGCAATACTATAGACATCAATTGGCTATCGCATTGGAAAAAATTTACAATTTGAAAGTAAACCCATAACAGAGAAGAACACATACATTACTGCCATTCGTTTCTGCTTACCTTGATTTCACGGAGAACAGAAAACTGCGTACGATTCCATTCCTGAAGCAGTTTGTTCCTGAAGGTATTTCTCCGCCATTTTCTCATTGTTTCCAATGTTTCCAAGATTGACTCTTGATTTCTGTCTCTTGACTGTAATAGCAGTTATTAAGTTACTTTAGATATCTCTCTTTTTCTAAATTACTTTTACAAAGAAAAAATCTCTTCTTTCAGTAAAAAATACAATTTAACATAGTCCACTTTTTATCTAGAATTGCACTGCTTGCATTAAACATCAAGACTTAGTTTTTTTCTGTATTTTTAGCTTTGCTGTGTACCTTGCTTTTAATGAGAAACATCACAAATAACACAACAAGTGAAACAAGTGTAGATACGTACATGTTCCAAAACTTGACAAATGTTTGGTAGAGAAAAAACAACAATTAACTCATCAACCATATTTAGTCATCTACATTGAGTTGATTTTTTCCCTCTATATGTACAAGATAGACAAAACAAGAAAAAATAAAGCAGTTGCGGTAAACTGCGACTATGGCTTGGTTTGGAGATATACAAGTGTGGCCTGTCCAAAAGTCTGACAGGTGAGTCTCACCTGGGAATCAGTGGGATCGCATGCATTGGCAATCAGACAGACCAAATCAAGGAAGCAAATAGGAACATCAGAGAGGCCTGGATCTGTTGTGTGATGGCAAATAGAACCAAGAAGCCTTACTGCAGTTTTCAGGCAACACTCTTTATATTTGTCATCAACGCTATGGGAAAAAAAACATTTGATTATTGTTGTGTTTGCATTAAGTTTGCTAGCAATATAATAATAATAATATATAGATACTGAAATTACTGTGGAGATACTGTATATTATATTGATAGGTTCAGGTTTTATTTTACCTTTTACTGCGATGGCTTTCTCTGTCGATGAGATAACATGCCAATACTTCCAAAGCCTATAAACCGAATAACAGTACATAGACATACGTAGTTTGAAATAGTTATGAAGTCATTCAAGCAATTGGTTTAAACCTGCAATAACAGATTGGGCAATAACAGATTGGGCCCCTTGGAGGCAGCAGAAACAAGTTGTGAACATAGACTGTACTGTATATAAGGGTTGTAATAAGGGCATATTATCACCTTGTAAAGTAATGTGGTGAACTTGTTAGAAAATATTTTCTTTTGTACTCATCCAGCAGTTATGAGCAACTTGATCATTTATTTGGAGTTGTATCTCTGGCCACTTGATGAATATAGGTCCAGTATTCACACTCATTTAGATCTGTTGTTGGAGTCTAGCAACTCCTAAGGGAAATATCTGTCTCTTTAGCTTCTAAATGCTCATCTGTGTTCACCTGCTAGTCACTAACTGTGTCTATCTGCTGTTTGGTAACGAGCAGGTCCTGTACAGTGGGTTCTTTAAGCTTTTTGACTGTAAACAGCTGCTTGCTGTGAGCGGTGAGAGTGAACCAAACAGTACAGTTGCATGTCGGACAGCTATACAATAAGCCGAAACTCATTTTAAGTTCCATAAAGGGGAGGGGAGCTGCATACTCAGGTGATACTCTTTAGGTTCATCACTATGAGTGACCACTTTCACATTGTTACGTTTTTTCCACAGTAATCTAATATATTATTATAAAAATATTATATTTTAACTGCTTTAAGGATACATACCTTGTAGTTGGAGTGAGTTATTCCAGATTTGATAGTGAACGGCATGTAATGAAGAATGTCTAGAAGCTCCACTTTCACAGTGGATATGAGGCTTGTTAGATCATTCACACGCACCAGAGTCATCCAAGAGTGCACAAGAAGACGATCAATGTCCGTCAGGTATGCATGTTCTTTCATGATCCAGACACCCCTAAGTTAAAGTCAGAGTTGATTATGGGGAAGATGTGAGGTAAAAAAAAAATAATGTCAAGATATCTTTGGGGTGAGCGGTGGAAACCAACAAACGATGCAGTTAACTAAATTTCAACACAATGTCATCAAAAATATAACTATTACCAGATTATTGCACATTCCTGAACAGGAGCAGTGACATTCTGGTCTCTGCTGGTTGCCTTGCAACCTCACATTACAAAGTCTTTCCTGAAATGTCAAGCTATTGCTTTAAGAAATTTGGGTTAATGCAATACTAGGATAAAACATTAACCACTGGTTTGGATAATCTGTGAATTAAAAAGAAAATGCTGTAACACTCTAATGGTAATTTTTTACATAGTATATATTTCTACTTACTTTGTATGTATTTCTACTCAATATATTGTATTAATGCATAAATAATTTTGCTCTGAACTTTGTTGAACTTCACCGTGTCTCTGTTGTGCAAAAGAAGAATTCTCCCTTGCCTGTTCACATATAACTAACTGTGTTGTATGATAATGTTCCATACCAAGGCCTTCAGGCCGCTTGCTTTGGGTGCTGACTGTTTGTTTTTGAATGTTGTTCCTGTCAGTCTGAGACCAAAAGTCTGAGACTGAAATGTCTGTAACATTGACCATCGGCCCTCACCTTTGCTCATTCTGTATAAAGAAAGCTTGTTCACTTGTTTCTTGGTTCTTCCTCACTGAGACTGTACGCATTCTGTTGTGATGATTGAACCTTCTCTGCGCAGAAAATAAATACTGGAAAGACAACCTGGTTTTGGTATTGCGTATTTCAGCATTAAAAGACTCACGCAAAGCGGGTATAGGAATATTTTCCACCACAACACCCTTTTACTGTTATTTCGGGCCATTGATATGCAAAATTGTTTTTTAGGAGTTTTGTTTGAAGTCTTGTCAAATGGTTTTCAAAAAGTTGTGTGCATGTGCTCAAGTCTGCAGGAGAAAAATACTTACGTACCTTACATAATTGTCCCTGTTGAAATGTGTTCCTTTGCTCCCCATCAAGCCTGACCAGGAGTCAAACTGTGGATTTGAGACAGGTGGAACTGGTTCAAATGGCTTGCTGTCTCCTCTCAGTAGGTGAATCAGAGGAATGACCAAGACCCACTTCTCAATTTGGTGTTGCCTGGCCTTGTTGCAAAGTATCTCAACAGCATCTGCAATACTTTACAGTCGAGAAGTCAGTGTTTAGTATCGTTATATTAACAGTGGGGAAAGAAGTCATATATGGAAAGCAGACTATAATGTTTGAAATAATAATTTGTCTCATGTAACTGTGACCTAAACTGAAGCTTTTAATAAAGTCTCTTTTTCTGACACTACGTGTGTAAACGCGAGGTTGATGCCCAGTAAAAAGGCACTGAATAATATATTTATCCACAGTTTGGAACCGGCAGATAAGGGCTTTTTAATACCTACACCCACCCGACCCGTTATGAGAGCCAATCCACACAGGCTTTGTGTTTGGCTGCACTGTTTTGAAAAAGAATGGAGTCCGCGGTTTGAGGATTTGACCTATTTTGAGACATTTTAAATTCTAAAAGTTGAACATCTACACTGAAGAGCCAAAACAATAGCAACACATGCATCTTCTCTTCTTCCTATACTTTTGATTTAATGACTGCTGTTGGAAAGCAGTGAAACGATACATTACTGCCATCACCTATTAAGGAGTGTTGCAGGATAGATCAGGCAGCAACCTCCTGTTCTGAAAAGAGAAGCCAATGCTGAAGTGTCTTAAACTTGCTTTCTCTCTACTGGCCATCAGGAGGCTCCCCTGATTGCAAAAAGAAGTCTGACTCTATGGATGTCTATGAGAAAATGACTCTACTTCTCACTTGATTTATTACCAGAGTAAACATTGTAAACATGAGTTTATGGTCTCAATCAATAGTTTCAAGTCTTCTTCAATACAGCATGATGGCCATTTAGTAAATTATAATCCCATTTAGATCACTCCTCCGCAGAACTAATATAGTCACTTCGGCTTACCGGTTGCAAAAAATCCAAATGGCGTTTGGGTTTGTAGACTGGGATAGACTCTTTCAACAAGTCCAATGGCATACTTTATATGGTTCTCAGGGTGCAAGAATGGTAAAAGTAAAGGAGCTACAGCTCGCATTTGGTTATACAGTATTCACGAAACAATGCTTCTTTGATGGTAGATGGGAAAACGATTATTGAAAAACCACTGCATGAAATGTATGGCCTTGTAAGTTCACACATAGTTGACTCGGTACATTGGATGTGTTTACACAAGCCAGTTTTTGTGAAACGTCCCATCATCTCCATTCAAACTACAATACAAGACACATGTTTACATGTGTCCACTGTGGAGACCAATAAGCTCCATTTATGGGGGACAAAGCAGTGTCGACTGATAGGAGAAAGAAGAAAAAGTTATCTATTATTTTTTATTTGTTATTTGTGTTTAAAAATGTGTCTCTCTTTATTAGATATATTTTCAGTTTTTTTTCTATTCCTGTCATTTTATTTATTTTCTGTTAAGTCTTGTTTGTGACAAACTGCTCTTTATAAATAAATGAATCAATAAACGTGAAGCTGACGTCAAGTTAAATCTTTGATCTTGTATGAGATCAACTGGCAGGGTCCTCGGACTGATACTATTTCCAGGCCAATTAATACAGCCCTATTAAGTGCTCATGCTGACAGTTACGATTGTCTTCTATTTAAACTTAAATTTGAGGGTGTTTTGGTCGCATTTAATTATTTTTTTTTCCTGTTTGCGTTTATATTTTGTATTTTTGTTATTATTTATTCTATAACCTTTACTATCATTGTGATAATGATGTATTAGTCACAACTGTTTTTTGTTTTATGCTAACTTAAATCAACTATCAGTTACCTCTTTTTATCTGACAAAGGGCTTGTAAAGTCTTTCCAGAAATCAAGGAAATGGTGTTGTGGCATATTAGGCAGGCAAAGAAGATCACATAGACCGGATAGTTGATTTGTCGTGTCGTCTTTCAGATACTTGTTGTAAATCAGCAAACTGACAACTCCTGCACGCAAAGGTGGTAAAATGGATTTTGTTGTTTCTTTGTGCTTTCTGGGGTTGTGATTGATGTTTTCCTCCAAGAAACGTTTAAGCAGGTTTTTCACCTAGACAAGGTAAAGGAAGAAGGTATCAATCAACCAACGTCTTATACTTACTTACACTGATGTTAATTCTTGCTGAAAACAATTCTATGAATTCACTTTGTCTCAGTTTTTATGGGACCCAGTGCTATTCGAAAATAAAACCCTTGAGCTTTACCTGTTCATGATTGTATGGTAATCCCCACGGCCTTTCTGTGCCATGATGAAGTAGAGGATTGCTGTACGTATAAAAGAACTGTTGTAGCAGTAAAAAGAAGTTGTCCAAATTTGGTTTATTCCAACTCGTAGGAAGGTCAAAGATGATACTCAGCATCACCCTACCAGCTTGGTCTCTCCCTTTCAAAACAATGTCTTTGATTGAATTCCAAGACCAGAATTTCTTCTTCAGCTCGCGATGGATCACATCATCATACTGGTGCCACTCCCCTTGAAAGTCCAAGAGAGCAACATGAAATATTAGGGAAATTTAAATGTTACTTTGTGTGTTTCTTTTTGGATGATTTCCCTTAATTGAGTTTCTTGGACAATTTACAACCAACACACATTTTAACTGTTATAGTCCTCTTCCCAGAGAACTGAATGCATATCTAGACATGCCAAACCATGTGTAGAAATGAAGCATATTTGTTCAGGCAGTTCATGTGATAAACTTTTGGTATTGTTGATTATACTAACATCTAATGTTAATGTACACGTATTTGTAAAAGAGGGGATTATTTCTCCCTGCAGAATATTAATTGCTGCTTAAATTCTCTGAGAGCTCCCTCAATGAACAGAGCCTTTTTAATCAAATCAAACTGTATGACAATGAATGGTCAATTCCTTGACACAGCTGTCTCTAACTGAAACAAATTTCGAGCTTTCCTAGATCTTCGCGTCCACCCATCTGGCTGACCTACAATAAACTTGTCAGTGTTCTGTGATGGACAATCTGAAATGATTTTTAAAAGACATAAAGTGTATCTTTTGAGGTTTTCCTGTATTGCAATTTCTTGCTAATAATCTGTAAAAATACCAATGTGTCTACAACAAGTTAAAAATGGCCAATATCCAGCCGACTGATTTATCAAAAGAAGTGAATCTAGATTACCTTCGTGTGTTAAAAAGTCCTCTTTGATTTTCAGGCACCTGTTGACTAATTGATTTTCATCTTTCTGGTAGATCGTCTCATACATGCACGTGGAGTCATTGTGGTTGAAAATGACGTATTTGTAGGGTATACTCTCATGGATTAAGTTCCTGGGAATCATAACTTTCCCTTCAACAAGATACCTCTTGTCCCCTAGAAACCTGTGAAACACAGCAATTATAATTAGTGATGGGACCGGCAAAGATGTGACAAATCCATAATTCCAAAGCAAACAATCAGGCGGATAATAGCCACTATGCTGCTAGTTGATGAAGAAAGCTAAAACTAACTAAAAATACATAACAAGAAACAATCACAATCTGATTTTATTGTTTCCTTGGTTTTTAGTGGAGAATTGACAAAACAGCTGTTCTGGTATATTTGTGAAGAACATGTTTTTAAAAGAATATACCTAGTGAAGGACATTTTCAGGCCAGGTGCATCCCAATGCCCAAACATTTTTTCAGACATTAAGAAAACCTCATCCTTTTCTGGGTCCAATGGACAGTCTTTGGAAGTGACAGCATGGAAGTACACAAGCATATATTCGCTGCTTGGAAAACTAAAAAAGAAAAACCAAGTAGATAAAAGTTAACTTCTTGTTTTCTTTATTAAATCAATAATACAATACAAAATATGTTGTAACAGATAGCATTACTGGATTAGAAATACAGCAGACAATGATTGGATTATATTTGTTTTTTGTAATTTAAGATGCTTTACTGAGAACATTACAAGAATACTTCATATATACCGTAGATTAGAAAGAAGAATCTAAAATGTCTTTTAAACTTACGTTTGTTGTGCTTGAACTTGAGTGGATGTTTCAGAGATATTCTGACTGAGAGGGCTGGAATGTTTCGGTGAAGTGGAGACATCTACATCTCTGTTGCCTGGCTGCTGTTTCTGCATCTCTGCCAAGCATGTGTTTGTTATCTCTTTTAAGGTGTCAACAGCCTGTGAGAAAAATAAAATATTGAAGAGTAAACAACTCCCTGATCAGATGATTCTACCATTACCATATATCTTGTACAATATATACAGATAAAACATAAAGTTCCTGAAGTCCTATGGGAATCTGATTGCCAGATAATCTGATTTCCAATAATCAACTGTATAATATATACTTATCATACCTGTCAATTCCCACATTTTACATGTGAAAGTCAAATCTTATTGTCTTTACAAATAAATAAAGACCTTGGACATAGAAATATAATGCACATCAATTCTGGAAATGATTGGTAAATTTGTTTTTACACATATCTATGATTGTCTCCAAAACGTCATGGTTTTAATGTCAGGCTAATAGAAATCATTGCACAACTGTCAATACTAAATTCTAAAATGTTATTACACCCATTATCATCATTTACTATTTGTGTAAAAATTGAAGAAAAGGAGAAACAAGTCTTTTGTAATAAGCCAAAGATTCAGGGTGAGTCAGTTTGACTGAGGGGCATCTTGTGTGTAATTGACTGGATCAACGAGTGTGTAGCTGTGTTGGTGATTATAGAGAAAACACCGATATTAAAAGCCTCTTTGTTGATATCGCAGTAAAGTTTACTTTCATTGTTGTTCGTACTTTCAGGTGATAGCCTAATTACTTTTTACTTTGTAATGCCGACAAAACATACCTCCAGCTGCTGCTGCTTCACACTGAAA